GGGGTTGGCCCGCAGCGGCTGAGACCCCAACATAAAGAGGAATTTACAAATACCATCTGCGAGGCTTGGGCTGCAGTGTAGGGGAGGAACGGAGCTGCAGATAGCACCCCCTAGCATCGGGGCATACAGCGTGCAGCCTCCCGCTTAATTAAACAACAATTAACAACAAGGCATGGCAGACGAAAAGGTGGGTGGTTAGCCCCTAACAGGTGGGCAGGGCCACCAGTAGACAGACCCTGAGCAGGCCCCCCCAGTTACACTTATATTTTAGAGGAGTTATTTGTGAAGGATTCCTATACCATCAACAAAACATCACTTCCTACCCCCATGGCTTCTGTATTTTGCATGCATATTTATTTCTTTAAATTTGATAAGCAAGGAGAGAATTTTTAAAATTAATTGTTAAAACTGTTTTGCTTTTCATAAACTTTTACTGGTTTAAAACTGAAGACCACCTCCTCATAAGTTTGTTTCCTCCATTATACAAATATCACTGCTCTGTTGTTGAAGATCCACACAAGAAGTGTGGTGTCTATCAAATAGGAACAACTTGGGGTTTCAGAGGCTGATGTCCTGGGGGGTTTATGGTCACAGACTGGCCATATGAAGGAGCCTCTACACTGCTTGTGCTTACTGTTTGTGTTTGTGGAACAATTCTTTACCAGACTGGTCACATTTCTACCCTCTCTCCTCCATGTCACAGCTATAATTAGATTCAAATGATACACTGTCAAAGAGAAAACTGACACAGCCAGTTCTAACATGCTCCCTTACAACTGACTGGTGCAGAATTTAAAAGTCTGCAAGCAGTCACCTTCTTGTACTTTAAGGGATCAGGCAACACTGGACTGGTGAGCCAAACTTCCGACCCTAGAAACTATGAAACTATGAAATCTAGGTAGTGAAATGCAACGTAGTCCATCTCTTACCTTCTTCCACAGTACTTACTGTTCAAAACAAATCCATTGAAATGGGTAAATAAATTTAAAAAAAATCAATACACAATTAGAAGTAACCAATGCTGTGGCTATTTCACAAAAACTAAGCTGCCAAAATACTCTAAGAAGATGAAGATACTGAGCAGTGACTTAAATTTTCAAATTCCCAGAGGGACAAGCTCATCTCTATCACCATAAGGTTTTAGCAAGTGATTATGCAAGCCACAGAAAAATAGACTTGAGAAAGGCAAGAGGGAGCAGAAGAAAAATCTCCCCCATCTAGAAAGCTGCCCATTTAGAGCCATTAAAACAGTTTATGAAGAGAAACTTTCCTAACTTATTTCTTTACAAAAAAGACCTAAGAAAACATCAAATGATAGGTCTTCCTGACTATTAAAGACAAATTGGTCCCATTAAGTTAACAGTTAAAGATGGGCAGCATACATGCACCAGTGGAAATAGTAGTTTTAATAAAAAGAAACAATATAAAATCAATAGCATAATGAAGGAGGTGGGGGATGGGGCACTAGCCCCAGGAGTCAGCCTGGGGGTGGGCAGAGCAGGGCAGGAGGAACTAACAGCAGCTACACTGTTGGTTTGGCAGCACCATGCTGCCAGGGGCACAGCCACTGATGCATGTGTGGCTGCTGCCCAGGGTTCTCAAATATCAGGTTATGCCTCTATATAAAGCTATCTAACTTATTCTACACAAATTTTGAAAGAATGAAAGTATACAGTATGCTGCAGGATATTTTCTGATGCAGACTGCTATCTGTTCCCTAGTCTCATTTCCATGGAAATCTATGATGGGTCCAACTGGTACCTCAGGAGACCACAAACACTGCAGATTTCTTTCTAGCAGAACTTATATATAATGCCCAATCCAGGAGGGTGCAGAAACAGCACTCCCAGATGAGATCAGATTCTTACTTCCATGAGATCAGATCCTAAATTCACTGCATTCTGAACCTTACAACAATACTGTTCCTCATTCAGACACTTCTGCCACAGCCACATATTCCAATATGAATTTTGCAGCATTTGAAGCCACAATTCAATCCAATGAATGCCTCCTTGGAAAAATCTAGTTGTAAGATTTTGCTTATTGTGACAGGGCGTGACCTCAGGGTGTCATGAACTCCCCTAGCGCCCCCCTACCTTGCCAAATTGGTGTCACCACGCACCCTCACTATCTCACCTGCCACAGCTTTGATGTTAGTTATTGGTAAAGGGAGGCTGCCTTTTTACCCCCTTTGGCATGGTGCCCTGCCTTCGATAACACTGTGCACTATAGCCTCTGGGCTACGTGTGGGCCCTACTGTCACCCGTGCCCTCACAGGTCCTCTGGCTCGTCTTTCTCCGTTGCCCGTGTCCTCACAGATGCTCTCTGGCTTGTCCTGCAGCTCTCGCCCACACCGGGGCCCTTCCCCGCGCTCTCGCCCACACCGGGGCCCTTCCCCGCGCTCTCGCCCACACCGGGCTTCTCACAATCCCACAAATCGAGGCTCAGGTGGCCATAGCCATGCCTGGCCCCCAGACCCCCTTCTCAGGTCTTATGCCCCACTGGGGCTTCTCGCCTGCACCTGCACTGGGGCCTTCTCTCATAACACTGCCCACTTTGGGGCCGGGGTCAATACACCCCAAAACGCTGCGCCCTCTCTGGTGCTGGGTCTCCATGCCACCGTGGAGCCCCTATGAGGCCTCCTCCAACCCCTATTAGCCTCACCCAGTCCTCCGGTCTTATACAACTACAAAACAGAAAAAACTCATGCTCCTGGGCTACAACATAAATTCCAAGCCAACTGGCTAACCATCATTCATATCCCTACCAGGGTTTCCTCCACCCAGTATCATCAAGCAGAAGCTGCTCAGGCCATCAGGCTTCTCTGCTCTGCCTACTTCAGGAGAGCTCCCTCTTCCTCAGCTGCCAGAGGGGAACTGACCTCTGGCCTCAGCCTGGCTTGTTTATATAGGCCAGGCCCTGCCCCCTTCTGGTCAGCTGACCGAACTGCGGTTGCCCTGGCAACAGGCACCTGTCCCTTTCTAGGAGCAGGGCACGGAACTGTCCTGCAACACTTATATACAGCAATAAAAGGAAAAAAACCCAAAAAAACACCTTCCTTCCCCTACCCCACTGTTTAGAAATTCTGTACTCACGTATTGTTGATCTGAGACAAATATAGGGCTGGAAAGGCTGAGACCACCAGAATTCTCGCTGCTTCCTGAACAAAAAGGAAACCATCATAGTAGGTAAGCAGCTCAAGTGGCTGCCTAACTAGCTGTTCCAACCTATCTGCACATGAAATGACAGTCAGCCTGATAAGGTCTGGTGCCAAGCCACAAGGTGTGGAAACAGGACTGGTGTTCTACCCAGTGCACCAAGTGAGGAACAGACTCCTCTTTCACTGCCAATACTCTACAGAAGAGGTTTGCAATCTGTGATCCATGGGCTGAATCCAGCCTGTGGAGCCAATTGATCTGGCCCGTAGACATGAAGCTTTAGCAGCCAGATTGACCCCGTTCAGAGCAGAAGTGAGCGGGTGTACAAAGTGTGGGTGCTAAGATCCAGCTGTCACTGGCACTTTTCCCCAGCAGCTGCACTGGAGAAGTATCCCCCACCCCTGCTTTTCCCCACAGCAGCATGGGGCGAGTGTCTGCAGCTGGCACTGATCCCCATGGTGGCAGGGGAAAGCAACTGCTGCCAAAAGGCCACCTCCACTGCAGGGAAAAGTACCGACTGTGTATGCTCTCCCTGCGCTGCTGTGGAGAAAAGCAGCAGCAATGGGCACTTTCCCTGTGCCACTGCTGGAAAAAGCAGTAGCAGTTGTGGCTGGGTCCTAGCACCTGTGCACATCTGACCTGAACTAGATTATCTCGCCTTCAGCCTGAAGAGGTTGCCAACCCCTGTTCTACACTACTGGCTTGCATGTTGCCTTGAATTCATATAGATGACTGAGGAAAGCAGTGTTAACTGTCTTGTAATACACATGCGTGGAAGCAGGAGAAATGACTTACTGAAGTCCTCTCTGGCACAGGACCTTAATATAAGTATTATGAGCATGTCTTGGTTTGAGTGCCCTGCAAGTTTAAATTGAATCAGTACACAGTTATCTGGCATTACTGTTAGCCCTTGTAACATGATTTCTTTTTTGGTCTCCTGATGGGTCAACATGTTTATAGAATCAGGCCAGAGAAGAGTTTTTGTGGTGTCTCTAGGCACCTGTGTCTGAAAGTGCTCTATTTTTTAAAAAAATGTGGCTTTTAATATGCATAAAACAGTTAGTCACTGACTTTTCTCATTTAAAATGAAGAAAACTGCCAGCTCATCTCTGAATATCAAAACTGAAATACCACGAATGCCTCAAAGAACACCCTTAAAATATCTTTCTTAGAGATAATTATGCCCTTGTGACAATTCTGGATTCTTTCACCTTTCCTGTGGAGAACAATCCTACAAAATTAAGCATCATAAAAAGATGGATTGGACAGAGATTATAAATAAAGTAAGGCATCTAGCAGGCTGTTGGTGCTAGCGTGAAGTCCCTTGCCTTGAGTTGCTTACAATCTGATTTAAGATGAAAGAGATCAACCCAAGACAGAAGATGAACTTAATATTCTGTTTCCTCATAAGTATCCTTAGTAAGATTTAAAACAGACAAAGTGTGGAGTTATTTAATCAAAAAATAAATCTTTGATAATCACACAGTTCTAAATTGGTGGAAGTTCTGACAAACCCAAGTGACTTGCTTAGCTAATGCATCACTCAACACTACCAAAAAAGTTATGATGTTCTGGAAAACATGCAAGTAGCAAGAATTCTGGTAGGTAATATCTTTTTAGATGAGATGCATTTTTTCCCCTGCTTGGAATCAAGAATCACCAAGTTCTCTTACCTCTTCAGAAGATGGTTTGAAGGAATAAGCCCAGCACAGGTGTTAAGATCCAAGGCTTTCTTTGCCTGCCACCAGAGCACATCATTCTGGTCAACTATCTGAAGGATTTCACCCTTTTTAAAGGGCAAGCCTGCATCGGCACAAGGAATGGTAGGGTCTTGCAGGGGGCAGTAATCTGCCATGGCTCGCACATACAGCTGTTATGCAACACAGACAAAAGTGAAGATGTTCCTTGGAGCAGCTACAAAGCAACACTATAATATACTGATAATCAAAAGGACTTGATACAGCTACCAGGGTGGGAGGGAGAAATCAATGAAAATTTTGCCATCAACTTCAATGGGAATAGTATGAGACTCAAATCTCAGTTGTTTTCCTGATCAAGAAAAATGTCATCTCAAATACTTTGAACACTATGACCTCTCTCTCTCAATTTCTCCAGAAATGCCTTAACTACTTTTCTGCTTCCCTAATCCCATCCTGCTATCTTTAACTGCATTACTAAAGGCAAATTTTTTAAATCAGAGGCATACGTGCACAGTTATGACATTTTAACAGGGAAATCTGTAAGCTGCTTCTAAGTAATTTTTCTCTTGCCATATCATACTGGCCCATTAGTCATTACTGCAATGAGAATAAGCTGCAGTCTGCAATACTAGTAATCTGAAAACATATAGAAGAATCTTACTGTTGTCTGGTTGCTGACTGGTCGATCAGAAACTGGAATTAGTTTAAACATTATTGTCCCATGTGACAGAGCCTAAAAAGATTCAGAAAGAGAGTGAAAATGTACTGTCCTATCAGTAACACCCTAAAAGGAAATAAGTTTCATCACTTCAGGACTAACAAAGGATTATTCCATACGTGACAAAATGTCCTTAAAAGTCCTATAATTGCTAAACTCCAACAGAACTTTTCATACAGACACATCCTTAAAATAAAGTTCATTTATTCTTTAAAAACCAACTTTAGTTTAACTCACAAGGGAAGCTCAGAAACCTCAAGCCTTTAATAAGGCACATTTAAAACAAAATTCCTTGTATAGGGTTGACCTAGCTGTGCAAGGAAAGGAAAAGAATGAGTTTAAGGTCTCTAGATACAGCTGAATGTTAATTATCCAGAATAGCTGGTTAATTGGAAAACTGATGGGTTTTGTTAATACAAAAATGTAGACGGAGGGAGAAAATATTATTGGGGGGTGCTGAGAGCTTGCACGCTAGCACATGCGCACACACACAGCCCATCACAGCAGGTAAGTCTGTCATGGGGAAGGGGCGAGGGAGAGGAGCAGCTGATCAAGGCCCCTGCAGTGAGGGAAGGAATGGGGCAGGGGCACTGCACATGCTCCAGTGAAGGCCTGGGGGGCATGTGCCCTCCATATTTGTGTGAGGGGTAGAGGTGGACTGCCGCTGTGGGCTGGGCTTTGCATCCTGCTGCCGCTGCCTTGGAAGTGCCGTGATGTCATGTGCCTGCTGCCACCCCTTGTGTGGCTGGCACGTGGCATTGCATCACTCGTGGGGTGCAGTACCCAGCCTGCAGTCGCAGCCCACCTCCACCCTCAGCACTAATCTGGGAGGCACACCCCCAGGCCTCTGCTGGGATGCATGCAGCAGCGAGAGCCCTCCTGTGCCCCTGGACAAGCCGCCTGATCTTTGAGCACCCCATGACCTGACCTGGGCCCAGTGTCCCATTCACTTCAGCCCCTTCCCCATGACAGATTTAACTGCTGCAGTGAGCAGTGTTCTACATGCCACTGGGCTGTTGCATGCTGCGGCTGCATGTCTGTGCATGCCCCTTCCCTCGCCCTCTGCATTGCAGTTGCCCAGAGCTCATGCCCAGGCTGCCTTGTGACCCTCTGTGCTGCTACTGCTGCCCACACTGGGGGCTGGGGGAGGTAAGCCCTGTTACCCCTGGCCTTCTACCACATATGCACAAAACATTCTGGTTAATTGACTTTCCAGATCAGAAGTTTTCAATCTTTTTTAATAAGCACACCCCCAGCAGCTGGATGTGGAGTGGCAGCAGCACAGAGTGGTGGGTGTTGGTGGCAGCAGTCACTGCGTGTGAGCTTCCCCCCTGCCATGTCCAGCTGGCTGGGCAGCACTTGTACAGTCCACAGAGGGGCACTGCTGCCCTCATCTTCCCCATTCCCCCCCAGCCCTGCACCTGGGAGGCAGCAGTGCAGGGTGGTGGGTGGCAGTGCTCCATCCCCACCCACCCACGCATACCCCAAGTACCCTTGGGGATACGCATACCCCCAAGTTGACAACCCCTGTTTCAGATAATCAATTCTACTATACTGCATTGTGGTAAAATTTGTATTTCTACTGCTCTGTTTGCACTTATTTCTCCATGCATGATAAAAATTGAAAGGCAAAGACAAAAAGACCTTAAAACTTTTTAACCAAACACTTAGGACAGGGGTGGGCAAAATCAGGCCCCTGAGGCTATTCTATCACACTGGCAGTGGGGTGGATTACAAGCTGGTGCTGAGTGCGGGGAAAAGTGGCCCCTTGCCCACCTCATGGCCAGTGCCCTGCACTGCAGTCACCAGAAGTCCGCATGAGGCTGCCTGTGCCTGCTCCAGACAGCCCCACGTGGGCTGCGAGTGCCTGCAGTGTGGGGCACTGGCCATGGGGCAGGCGAGGGGCCACTTTTCCCCGTGCTCAGCACCAGCTTCTTTCCTGCTGGTGAGCAGGAGGTCAGGGCCC